TATTTCAGATAAATGCTGTTCTTCTGAACTTTCTATTCATCAAAGAAACCTACGCTAAAATTCTACGCTGTTTTCAACATAATAATACATGTTTTTTGAGCAGCAAATCATAATATTAGAATGATTTCTGAAGGATCATGTGACTGGAGAAATTATGCTAAAAATTCAGCTTTGAAGTCACAGGAATAAATTACATTTTAAAATATTTCCAAATAGAAAACTGATTTTAAATAGTAAAAATATTCCAAAATGTTACTGTTTTTGCTGTATTTTGGATCAAATAAATGCAGGCTTGGTGAGCAGAAGAGACTTCTTTAAAAAACAATAAAAATCTTACTGTTAAAAACCTTTGACTGGTAGTGTAGGCTGACTATTCTTATAGATTGAAACAAATGTGCTTCAGCCAGGATAAAGAGTATGAAAAGGGCTCTGAGTTGCTGCAGAAAATAAGGCGAGTGTGAGATGTTTATTTGACAGTGGTTTCACATTTCTTGTTTGTATGAAGGCTAAATACAAATAAAAGGTGAACATTCATTTATTTGTGCTGTTTTGTTTTCTAAAAAAATAAATAGTTTTATAGGAAGAGGTTTCATAGACTTGGCAAATAGATTTTTCATAAGTTTGTATACAGACATCTGTTGTGGGTGTTCTTGGCCGTTATTATATCGTTAGAAATAAACCGTGATATCAATTTTGGCCATATCGTCCAGCCCTATGTTTATGTCTTGAGTCTTGATTTTACATTAAATTGTACTGAATGCAAAATAACTGTGTTTAAGATAACTCAGCACTGCTAAATTAATAAATGTGCAATGTGTTTATGTAAACAAGTCAAATAAAACTAAATTTGAACAGTAAAATTTTCTGTTATTATCAATATTTTTAGTAAAATTAAAGTTATTAAAATAATGCTATTCAATTAATGGCTAATGAATTGATTGTTTATAATTATAATATATAATAATTTACTATTATTAATTGTGATTATAATTATCATCATTTTTAGGGGATGTATCTTTCATCGTTGCTGTTGTTGCCTGCAAATTACTGAGGAAAAGCACTCGAGGACGTTGAGTTGCATGATTTTACCATGGTAAAGAGGTGTTCGGGTAGCATTTTACCATGGTAAAATCACTGTCAGCGATATTTTTAGCGTGTTCTGATGAACATGAATCAATGAATCATGTCAAAACTGCTGGTACATACTGCACAGCGTCGTTCATTATAACTGGAACATTTTAGTATTCATTCATGGCGACCCTCGCTTAGTTACGGCGCAGATCGCAGCTCTTATAGAGAGTTAGCTATGGCAACACAACCAGGATAAAACGTTAAAAAGAAGCATCTGGTTCGATACAAACCACTTCACTGGGAGAAACTCGACAAAGAGAGAAAATCCTTCAAACGTTTTCAGTTCGACCCTCTTGACAGGTTTGTTTTTATTCTTCGATTAGATCTCCTGACTCAGCCGGTGTGTTTTGATCTTTGATTGGCTGGCAGTTCTCTGCTTCTGTGTTGTGATTGGTCTATCAAATGTGACAGAATTTGCGCATGAGCTGTTACTACAGGATTTGCTGATGGTGTTGATATTATTTAATTAAAACGAATTATACATTTCAGTTTTATTTACATTCATTAATTTTACATACAATAATTTCATTTTATTTCAATGTAATTTTTTATTTGATTTAATTAATTTTAGGTTCAACCCAGCTCATGGGCGTCGCTAGGCCATTTTTAGGGGGGCTATAGCAAAATGACTACTCAGCCCCCCTAAAATTTTGCGATTAGCTCCATAAACTGTACACGAATTCGTGATTGCCTCAGTCCCCTTTAAATTTCAAATGAAAACGGTGGCAGACTTCAATCGGCTCCTCCCCGTCTTTCTGCGCGTTCTTTTTCAATCAGCAGACAGACAGCAGCGGCGCAGAGCAAAGAGTATGAAAAGGGCTCTGAGTTGCTGCAGAAAATAAGGCGAGTGTGAGATGTTTATTTGACAGTGGTTTCACATTTCTTGTTTGTATGAAGGCTAAATACAAATAAAAGGTGAACATTCATTTATTTGTGCTGTTTTGTTTTCTAAAAAAATAAATAGTTTTATAGGAAGAGGTTTCATAGACTTGGCAAATAGATTTTTCATAAGTTTGTATACAGACATCTGTTGTGGGTGTTCTTGGCCGTTTTTATGAGGCTTTTTAAAATAATGTTCATATCGACATCGGAATTATATCGTATCGATATAGAAATAAACCGTGATATCAATTTTGGCCATATCGTCCAGCCCTATGTTTATGTCTTGATATTTAATTTTACATTAAATTGTACTGAATGCAAAATAACTGTGTTTAAGATAACTCAGCACTGCTAAATTAATAAATGTGCAATGTGTTTATGTAAACAAGTCAAATAAAACTAAATTTGAACAGTAAAATTTTCTGTTATTATCAATATTTTTAGTAAAATTAAAGTTATTAAAATAATGCTATTCAATTAATGGCTAATGAATTGATTGTTTATAATTATAATATATAATAATTTACTATTATTAATTGTGATTATAATTATCATCATTTTTAGGGGATGTATCTTTCATCGTATTGCTGTTGTTGCCTGCAAATTACTGAGGAAAAGCACTCGAGGACGTTGAGTTGCATGATTTTACCATGGTAAAGAGGTGTTCGGGTAGCATTTTACCATGGTAAAATCACTGTCAGCGATATTTTTAGCGTGTTCTGATGAACATGAATCAATGAATCATGTCAAAACTGCTGGTACATACTGCACAGCGTCGTTCATTATAACTGGAACATTTTAGTATTCATTCATGGCGACCCTCGCTTAGTTACGGCGCAGATCGCAGCTCTTATAGAGAGTTAGCTATGGCAACACAACCAGGATAAAACGTTAAAAAGAAGCATCTGGTTCGATACAAACCACTTCACTGGGAGAAACTCGACAAAGAGAGAAAATCCTTCAAACGTTTTCAGTTCGACCCTCTTGACAGGTTTGTTTTTATTCTTCGATTAGATCTCCTGACTCAGCCGGTGTGTTTTGATCTTTGATTGGCTGGCAGTTCTCTGCTTCTGTGTTGTGATTGGTCTATCAAATGTGACAGAATTTGCGCATGAGCTGTTACTACAGGATTTGCTGATGGTGTTGATATTATTTAATTAAAACGAATTATACATTTCAGTTTTATTTACATTCATTAATTTTACATACAATAATTTCATTTTATTTCAATGTAATTTTTTATTTGATTTAATTAATTTTAGGTTCAACCCAGCTCATGGGCGTCGCTAGGCCATTTTTAGGGGGGCTATAGCAAAATGACTACTCAGCCCCCCTAAAATTTTGCGATTAGCTCCATAAACTGTACACGAATTCGTGATTGCCTCAGTCCCCTTTAAATTTCAAATGAAAACGGTGGCAGACTTCAATCGGCTCCTCCCCGTCTTTCTGCGCGTTCTTTTTCAATCAGCAGACAGACAGCAGCGGCGCAGAGCGAGAAACAAGATGTTGTAATAAATACAGTTTACAAAATATCAGTCGGTTGTAGCCTAAGTTTTCGCTGCGTTCACCCCTCCTCACACCACAGCTGTTTCCTCCAGCGAAAACGAAGCACATATGAACGCATACTGTATAAAACGATCATGTTGCCATTTTCATTTGAAAATGTTACTTTCAATGTAATACAGTTTTCAGTGCATGTGGCAAAGAGGTTTGCATACTTGAGCTAAGGAAAGAGGGT